ATCGAGCGCTCGATTCGACTTAAACTTTTATGCGTACTAAACGGCACAACGTTTTCGACGTCAGGAGGTATGACAATCCGCCGCAGGCGTATTGCCCTGTCAGGAATCGATATTCACTGGACGATGACTGATAACTAGACACTTGATAACCGTTTCGGAGTTTATTTATTAATTTTTCATACTCAAAAGCTCCGGGCAAGCTACGGGAAATGCATCCAATCCGTTGAAGTCGGATTGCCCTGTCAGGAATCGACTTTCACCGTAATGGGCGATGACTGATACCTAGACACTCGATTGCCGTTTTCGTAACAAGCTACGGGACGAGGTTCTCTGACGTTAAGTAGCAGGTTCGAAACACGTTTCGGCGAAATCCGGCTGTACGATAACTGAATAAGTATTCTGATTTTTTTTTTTTTTTTTTAATTTTTAAATTTTGTGTTAATTAATTGTAATTTCTGTTATCAAAAAAATGATTAAATATATATAGTTTTTTGATTTTCGACTCACTATTTACCACGACTCGCTAACGTTTGACATGTATTTTCATTAATACTTTAAAATTTCTACTTTGCGCTCACATCGTCCGCGATTCGGCGCAGTCGGATCGCCTACCTGGGAGGTTCAAACACGTTTAACTGGATTTTCAGTGGTGATCGCTTGAGAAATCGAGCGCTCGATTCGACTTAAACTTTTTTGCGTACTAAACAGCACAACGCCTTCGACGTCAGGAGGTATGACAATCTGCCGCAGGTGGATTGCCCTGTCAGGAATCGATATTCACTGGATGATGACTGATAACTAGACACTTAATTACTTTTTCGGAATGTATTTATTTATTTTCCATGCACGAAAGCACAGGGCAAGCTACGCGGATTGCCCAGTCGAGTAACGACAAGCACCGGGTAATGACTGATAGCTAGACATTTAATTACCATTTCGGAATGTATTTATTTATTTTCCACGCACAAAAGCACAGGGCAAGCTACGGGACAAGGTGTATTACACCTGTGAATTTAATGAAATGACCGACCACTAGACGCTCGAATCAGACTTATTATTTACGCGTTTAAAACGACACCGCCAAAGTGTAGAGCCACCAAATCAGAGGTACCAACATGTCAAACGTCGTTATCACTGGTTTTGCCTACTAGACTTTTCTAACTGCTGTATTCTTAAGTCCTGTCTCCGACCTAGGACATTCACTTCAAACGATATTCAGCTACTTAGGGTACTCACATACAGCGAGTTTTACCGACCTAGGGTACTCACATACAGCGAGTTTTACCGACCTAGGGTATTCACATACAGCGAGTTTCACCGACCTAGGGTATTCACTTACAGCGAGTTTCACCGGTGCTAGTAATAGTATAATGATAATTATTAAAAAGGACGCCAATACCCGTATGTGTGTTGTCTCATTTGTCTCCATCTTACAAATGCGCAACATGGCAAAATTTACACTCAGCAGATCATGTTTAACTCCGTTGGTTTAAAAATTAGAGTGAATTGACCTATTATGAAACTTGATGGTAAGAACATTATCTGTGTGTGTATGTTGATTTTTTTACGATTATTCAGTTTTTAAGTGAGTTATGAGCATTTTTAATTTACGCTATATTATTATATACCGTAAATCGGGGTAACTGCGCCATTTTAGCGCATTTTTCAACTTAAGGGCAAAATTTAACTAGGTTGCGAGTAAAAAAATTAAAACCTAACAATTTTCACGTAAAGGTGTGGGTGCAGACATCCCTTCTGCAAAATAAAATTTTTAATTTTTAAATTTTTTTAACTATAAAAATTTTTTTTGAAAAAATGGGCCATAATTACCCGGCAACAGGGTAACTTTAACCCACCTCTAAAATCCCTATAGTTTTTACCTTATATCTGCATTGGGCCAAAGTTAGCCTATGCTAGGTTAATTAGCTACTACCCGAGAAGTAATTACGTGTATTTTGATGATAAAATAAGCTAAAATAGCAAAATAAAAACAACTTTTAGAAAAAAAAAAACTGTTTATTTAATCAGAAATTTATACTTATATTATTATTTGAATTATAATTAAAAAAAATCTTTTCTGCTTACGTAAAACAGTTGTACAAATTAAAAATTTATGATTTCACAAACTCATCAAGATCTGGAACCCGGAAAAAAATTACGTTTACATAATATGGGTGGTTCGATTTTGCCAATTACGTCGCTCCACTCGTATTCAATGCAGTCTTGTTTTGTCGGCCACCTCCAACTTTTTGACCTCTTTTCCATGCAATCCACTTTTGCGCCTTTTTCACATATCGCAGTAATCCGACCAGGAAACTTGTTGCCATCAAACATGACTATAACAAAGTCACCAACGATGTAAGAAGCTTGATCAGGTTGGCCTTCAGGTTCGCTGGCTTGAGCTTCGTCGGCATGAGCTTCGTTGGCATGAGGGTTATCTACATACTCGCTATCGTCAGATCCGTACACTTCACTGCCACTATCTGACTCATCAATAATAGGCATAATCGCAGACTCGTCACTGGAGGAAGAGGACACAACAATACATTTTTTCTTTTTTGGCACCGGTCCAGGATTATCACGTGCCTGGTGGAGGTCTTCATACGAAATACTGTCCCCAGGTAAAACTTGCAGTTTTTTTTTTTTCGCGGTTTGCCAGGTCCGCCTATGAAGTCTTGTCGTTCTTTCTGAAGACGATCTAAAAATGCCTGTCCAACCAAATCTTCATCTAATGTATTATTTTTATTTTCGGCCAATCGATCAAGGAGTTTTTGTCTATTTAATGGGTAGATCCCAGCTTTCGCAAATCCTGATTTTAAGTTCTGTGTTTTATTCAAATCAATTTTTTCCATTACCTTGTTGAGAAGCCTGGGAAACACGTCTTTTGGTAAAGTTGAGTAGCAAGAACCATTTTTTGTCTTTTTCAACTCTCTCAACAATTCCCTCCATGCCCCCTTCATTGGCCGGAAAAAAACTATATCCAGTGGTTGAGATATATGTGTTGTATTAGGAGGTAAACAGATGAACTTAATATCGTGTTCATCACATAACCTCAACGCACGTTCGTTGATGTGAGAGGCCAAATTATCACCTATCAACGCTGAAGGTCCGCCACCTTCTACTTCCTTCAAGAAAACACTCTCGAACCAGTTTTCAAAGGTGACGGTGTCGAACCAACCACTTTTGGTTCTGTTGTACCGGGTCCGAGGTGGACCACCTTCTGTCCACGTAGTCCACAATGACTCCGCTTTATAAACCACATAAGTGGGAATAACCTGACCCTCCGCATTGCCACAAAACATCAGCGAAATGGCGCTTTTACTAGAATTATAAATGTTCTCTACATATTTCGAACCTCTTTTTGTTATTACCTTTTTATTTCCCGGGTCGTCGGTTAAGTTCGTCTCGTCGTAGTTGTATATTCTCGAAGGCGGAATACCACTTAACGTCCTTTCAAGGCGGTCCATATAATCATTTATGTCACTAGATGTTATGTTGGTGCGAGTTTTTTTAATATTTGCACTGAACTTTACTGACAAATCTGGGTGTCTTTTAAGAAAACCGTTGACCCAATCATCTCCTGGTATATTATTTTTAAATTGTGGTACTTGAGTACCTTTGCTATTTAAATATCGACTTATAGTCATTTTTAGGTCATAAGGTACTGATGGAAATCCGAAATTAGCAAGTGTAACGCAGTGTTGTGCAAAACTTATTTCTTCTTCACGGCTGAAGACTGTCGGACGGCCAACGCTTTTACTGTGGTAATTTTTTAATTTATTTTTAATAGTTGATCTGGGTATTTTATAGTGGTCTGAAGCTGCACGTTGGGACATTAACTTTGGGTAGAACACGATTCCGCACGTTCATTGTTCTATATTACCTTTTTTTCTACCCAACTCCGTATTGTATTCGAATGCGACGTTGCCATGTAACGAATACGATTCCGCACGTTTATTCTTGTTGAGATTGATACAATTAGTGCATATTATTTAGGGACCTGAACTTTTCCACCTATTTACCACGATATTTCAAGTTCAAACTAATTGAAAATAAGATAAGTCGGGTCTTTTGATAAAGTCGATAAAGATAACAACATATTACATTAAATTACATGTTATGCGACCTCACATTATAACGATAATATCGTAATGACGAGATTATTTTGATAAATTACCCATAATATAGTTGTTATGGTTGGTGTTGTCAGTATGGCGATGGTAAAATATACCAGTCTAGTCAGAACAGTCTAGTTAAAACGCAGCGCGTGGGTACGATTTTTTATGGTGTTAAAATATATAAGTTAATTGATAGGCATGGAGAATCAATTGGAGATAATAAAATCTGAAAAGGACAACGATTTAGCGTTGTTAAATACATGTAAATATCGGCATATTCGTCAACGAAATGACGGAAAAGTGAAATGGAGGTGCATATATAAAACATGTACTGCAAGTATATTAACTGACTCAAAACATACAATTCTATTGGAAATACTGGGAGAACACAAGCATACATTAGATACTGTAGAAAAAATCCAGCGTCAAATTTTGCGAGAAAATTGTAAAAGAAAAGCTAATGACACGATTTCAGTAAGACCTTCAAAAATTATAAGAACTGAGCTTTTAAAAGCGGATTATGAAGTACCTCATAGTTATATTAAATCTGTTCGAAAAAGTATGTATGATTTACGTCGAAAAGATTACCCAACATTTCCACAATCATTAAATAGTGCTATCACACAACTTAAAGAAATGCAAAACGAAGATCGCTTTAGATTTAAAAACGAAAAGTTTATTCATGTTCCTGAAAATCAAAACTTCATTTGTATTACGACGAAAACAAATATTAATTTACTCACACAGTGTGATGATATATTTATAGATGGCACATTTGAATACGCTCCTAAGTATTTTTGACAACTTTATACAATCCATGGATTTAAAAATGGTTTTTATATACCACTTGTATACTTTTTTTTACCCGATAAATGTGAAGAAACTTACATTCAAATGTGGACATTTTTAAAAAACATATGTTTTGAATATTTATCCACCAGACTATGTATCCACACATTACATGTGGATTTTGAAAAAGCTGCACATGAAGCCGCGAAAACTATGTTTCCTGAAATAGCTATTATTGGGTGTAGATTCCATTTAGGTCAGGCATGGTGGCGTAAGGTAATTAAATAAAATTATAACTTAATTTTTATTTATATTTATACGTTTTTTTTGATATATTTAGATACAAGAACACAATATTTTAAGAACTTCATATTTGATAGATGGAGATGAATTAGGCATTTGGTTAAAATCATTTTTTGGATTACCATTTCTCCCAGTGGAAAAGGTTGAAGAAGGCTTTTTAGAACTCGTGAGTACGTGTCCAAATGAAAATGAAGGCTATATATTTTCTGATTACATACTTAAGTCGTACATAGAATCTGGTTGTCTATTCCCCCCTGAATTATGGGCAAGTGAACCTTCAATTAGTCCAAGGTAACTTACATTTTATTTTTTATAATACATTTTATCTAGGGATACTGAAAAAAATTGTTTTGTTAGAACCACAAATGGAGCGGAAAGTTTCCATAAAATGTACAACGGACAATTTCACAGTGCTCACCCACCAACGCATGTAGTAATATCTGTACTAATGGAAATACAAGCCGAAACTATGACAAAAATTAGTTCAATTCCTAGAAACGTGCACAGTAAAATGGGATCATCCGATTTAAAACGTATATGTAACGTTATAAAACATTTTAATAATTATAAAACGCATCATCTATTGGCTTTATGTATCAAGGGAAAAAATTATATTAAATTATTTAATATCATATTTCTTTTTTTAATGACGGCTCACTATAGGTATATGAGATAACTATTTTTATTAATATTATATTTTTTTACATCATAATATTTATATAATAAATATAATATAATATATATAAATATATATAATAAACTGTTTGTAATAAATTTGACAACGTTGCACCCAATTCCTATTGTATTCCTATGAACAATAAAGTGTGCGGAATCGTGTTCCAAAAAAAAAAAAACGTGCGGAATCGTATTCCTCCCTTAACTTTAATCTTATTGCCCTTAAGCACATTTCTAAAGTATTTTCACTATAATTCTGGTACATCCTGGTACCGGGTTTACGAATTATTTTCCGCGGCATGATGGTCTATTAAATAAAAAGGACGAGACAGATGAGATACTATACAAATTAAGTACCTATAGGGACTATTTAAAACACGAAAATAGCATTATAATGCTAAAAAAGGAAATAAACAAAAATGTTTGACTCAGATTGTAGCTATCGGGAAACATTGGCTCAGGGCCAAAGATACCCCGACGTCAAAATCATGTTTTAACAAACCAAAGAAAATTTTTTTTTTACAATTGTTGATAAATACTTTATAACGGTTATATATGTAAGACAATATCCTTACTTACCGAGTACTACGTCGATTGAATCATACAAAACCAAATAAAAGTTATATAAGCACACTTTTTCGGAACAAAAAAATTGAAAACAAACAAAATGGTTTATAGCAAGACAGGTGATAGCAGCAAAAACTGTTATAATATTCGGTTACCAATGTTGTTATCTATCAAAACAACCACAACATTCTGATAATAGTCACATGTCTTATCACAACAAACAGAATGGTTTACAAATTCCGAAGTGGGACAAAGTTACCCCGGTGGGCCAAAGTTACCCCGTCTTACGGTACGCATAACTCGCTAAAAAATTAAACTATCGTAAAAAACCATCATACAAACAATGTTCTTACCAAAAAGTTTCATAATAGGTCAATTCACTCTAATTTTTAAACTCACAGAGCTAAACGTTATCTTCTGAGCGTAAATTTGCTATGTACTTGCTACGTACTTGTAAGACGGAGACAACATATGCGGGTGTGACGTACTGACGCCCTAAAAAGTTAATCTGAAGAAATAGTTGTGGTTAATTTAACTATTGGTTAAATCTGATGATTAACTTAACTGAATTTCTAAAAATAGTTAAACTGGGACATAGTATTAATTGACAGTTAAACCCTACTGTCAGTAAGTTAATTGAAAAACCGGCTCAAGGAAACCGAGTTTAAGGCTTTGAGCGTTGCGTCGAGTTTTTTTATATTTTAGTTTTTAAATGAGTTATAAGTAAATATTTTGCTGTAGGTAACTTATTATAAACATATTGTTAAAATATTATTTTATAATATTGTTACAACTATCATAAAGAAATATTGGGACGTTCAACACTCTATAATATTGACACAATCTTTTCACAAATATTTTCAAAACGTTTAAATTATGTTTTTTATAAAAAATATTTATATTACATAATAAAAATACATTGTGCTAATATTTGAATCAACATGTTGTCAAAATAATTCTAAAAACATATTTTCGAAATGTGATGTGAATATTTTTGAACAATATTTTGCTCATACATGTGAAAAACATATTGCATCAATGTGTAATTTAGTAATATTGTAAACAACATATGTATTAAATATTGAATATGTTTAAATTGCTATGTGGGTAGCTTTAAAAAAAAAAAATATGTCAAAATGTTGAAAAGTTCTGAAGATACATTAACAAATGCGCGATAGGCTTAAAACAAAGTTAATTGCCCATAAAAAATAAAAAAGTTAGAGCCGCTCTTTAAATGGTATTTTTTCATAATGTTTGTACTTTCATTTAACGTTGGGCGGTCACTTCTCCCAGGAACACATTTTATATTATTTTTTAATAAAATTTTTGACAAAAAAACTCATATGATTCATAGTTACCTGGGCTTATATCATTTACAATTGTAAAGTATATATTATGTCTTCCGACAAGTGGACTGTATGTATTTAAATTAAATGTTTATGCAAGGAGATGTATTGTAAATATTAAAAGCCAATGTAAATTATCCGATACACCAAATATAATTGTATGAAATTACAATACAATTACAATATTACAATAAAATTAGTTCAATAAAAACTAACAATTAATAAAATCATAAGACAAACTCTTACCACGTACTGCGCCACTGCAACAGCCGATGAAGAGATTACGCGACAATCGTCAACGCAAATTAAAGAGCTCACATAATAAAAATTACGCGGAAAA